CTGCCATCGGTGGAATAATTAATTCGTTTTTAAATTTTTTTAAATAGCAAAAAGGTGGTTGTTTACTACCCTATCCATGAATGTTTTCTTAATTACGAGAAAATCTGGGTATATAAAAACCCACCCAACTTAAATCGGATCCGACCCGCGTATCTTTGGATTTATCCTAATGAAACTTGAATTCTTTGTAAAAAAACCTCCATACAGTTAAGAATTTCGAGAAAAACCGATTGAGTGTTTTCCGGCGTAGAATCTGGCGAGTGTTGATAGAAGTAAACCGATTCCGTTCTTTTTATTTCCACTCCACAATCTACAAATTCCGTTGTAATCGATTTCTCCAACTTCTGTTCGTTTCGACTTCTCCATGGGTCGTGTGAAACAAAAAGGCGTCGAGTATGAGTCAAGTGAAAGCTGGGAAACGTTGCCTGAAACAGAATCGCATTCTCCAGCCGCAGCGAGAGAATCTGAAGTAAATCCTGAAGCCGCAGAGAAAGAGAAAGGAAATATTCCTCAAGCCGATGTAAACCCTATTCCTACCGAAGCCGCAATAAAGTCAAGCGAAGATGTTCCTCAAGCCGCGATAAACCCTATTCCCACAGAAACAGAAATGGAGAAGGAAACCTCTCTGAATCCTATTGAGGAGACCGCGGCCCAAAAAATAACCACAGAAGATGAAACCGAAACGATTAACCCCATGGAAGAAGAAGAGGAGGCTGAGGGTGATGAAGCAGAGGATGGAAAGGAGGATGGTGAAGAAGAAGAGGAGGGAAAGGAGGGTGATGAAGAAGAGGAGGGCAAGGAGGAGGGTGATGAACAAGATTCGAGAAATGAAGAGGCTGATGAACAAGAGGAGGGAAATGATGATGCTGAAGAAGAAGAGCAGGAGGCCGAAGAACAAGAGGAGGAGGCCGAAGAACAAGAGGAGGAGGCTGACGAAAAAGAGGATGAGGCTGAAGAACTAGAGCAGGAGGCTGAAGAACAAGAACAGGAGGTTGAAGAGCAAGAGCAGGAGGATGAAGAAGTGGAACACGAACCCTCACCGGCGAAGGTATGCGTTTAATAGATAGAGTCTACTGAGTTAAATGGGACAACTTTGACCAATTTAAGGTGTAGTGGTATAACATTATGTAATTGGAGTATAAGTAGGACAAATAGGACAATTGTGGGGAATATGTTTGACTGGTTTTGGTACAATTTCGTACAAGGGGGACAACTGAGTTAACTAGATTATTTGTACAATTGGAACAACTGGGAAAACTTTGTATGCGGATAAGAGATAGAGTCTACTGAGATAAATGGGACAACTTTGATTAATTTAAGGTTTACTGGGATAACATTATGTATTTGGAGTATAAGTCGGACAAATAGGACAATTGTGGAAAATATGATTAACTGGTTATGGTACAATTTCGTACAAGTGGGACAACTGAGTTAACTAGATTAGTTGTTTCGGACAAGTGGGACAACTGAGTTAAGTAGAGTAGTTGTACAATTGGAACAAATGGGATAACTTTGTGAGACTGTCTTTGGATTTCAGGATACAGATGAGGGAAACCAACCAATGGGACCTGAGAAGCTCTACTTCGGTCCAACCGAGTATAGCAAGACGGCAAGGATAATGACGAGATGTAGTATGAAGCATGTTTTTGAAGTGATAGAGTCTCTTCCAGAAGAGGATAAATGGTTCAGATCTCACCAGCAGTTTAAGCACATTTTTCATATGGCTAGGGAGCCAAATCACATGAATCAAGGACTTTGGATGCTGCTCCTTCACACAGCTTACACTGAGAGGTGAAATGAGGTTTGGTTTGTGGTTAATGGAGTTCCTATCAGGTATTCTATGAGAGAGCATGCACTTTTAAGTGGACTTGACTGCCATGATTACCCGCAAGACTATAAGAAATTGGGGACTTTGAAATTTGTGGAGAGAATGTTTGGAAGGAAAGCACAAATCAAAATCGCAATTGTGAAAGCTCAGTTACTCTCAATGGAGGAACCCTCTCTAGACAGGAAGAAGCTGGCAGTCTTGTATTTTTTATGCATAGTACTGAAAGCGAAATCCAAGATTGATGGGAACATTGATGAATTCTTGCTTAGAGTGGTTTCTGATTTGAATTTGTGTAAAAGGTTTCCATGGGGGCGTTACACATTTGATGAGACCGTAAAGGAGATCAGGCGAGTGGTGACCAAGTTTTGGCCAAGTGAGAGCAAAAGGAGAAGCATTTTCGTTTTCTGGTTTCATTGTTCCACTACAGGTTAGTCTCAGTTTAATAGGTGTCTAAACGTTATGATTTATGATTGTAACTTTGATATTGTATTTTGTAGATTCTTGCATTTGAGTGTATTCCAAATCTTGGACGCAAATTTAGAGAAGTTGTACCTGCTGCGGATGACTGTCCAAAGATGTGCAAACACAAATTCACTGAAATTGCAATGAAAGGAATACCTTTGGATGACATCAATGAAGCCATTGGTACTACTACCGAGGTGAATTTTCATTGCATTAGATTATGAGTTTGTATGGATGTTTGGATGATGATATTTATTAAGCGATTGGTACTACTATTAATAGGATATTAGTGAAGACTCTTGATAACACCGGATTTTGGCCATTTTTATGGATCATTTTAATATCTTTTACAGGTGTTTTTACTCTATTTTCAAAGGTTTTCAAAGGATTTCTATGTTTCCGGATTTTAAAATACTTTTCAGGTAATTTGGGATAAAGAGGCACAAAATGGAACAAAAAGACTCTTTTGGATAAATGCAGACCGTCAGAACTCTCATGGAGAGACGAAGACCTTCTCACCGTCTGATCACCCTCAAAATTGGACAACTTATAGAAGAATCAACCAGCTTTCAAATGCACTTGGTTTGGAGACATTCCAACGGTTGGATCTCAAGATATTCCATTAGCCCCGGAGCCACGCGGAGTTGGCCAGCAACTCACGCGACCGCGGCCAACAAGCTATTTGCCGCAGTCAGAAGCCTCCCGACCGCGGCCAACAAGCCAATTGCCGCGGTCACAACACTCCGGACCGCGGCATTCAAGCTCCGACTTAAAGCCCACTTATCTGAAGCCCAAAGTCATTCCCAGCCTCAATTCCGGAACCCTAG